TCTTAGAAATTTTCTTACAAATTAATATAAGTTGTTCATTTATTAAAGTTAGTGACTTCCTCCATATCCTTTATGTTCAGAAATTCCTTTTGGGGCGCCTAGGTGGCTCAGTCAGTGAAGTGTCCAACTTAGGATTTCGGCTCAGGTCATAATCTCACGGTTCGTGGGTTCAAGCCCCACGTTGTGCTCCACATGGACAGTGTAGAGCTTTCTTGGGATTCTCTCTTCTGTCTCTCTCTCGGCCCCTCCCCCACTCAGTGTGCAGATGCTCTCACTCTCTCTCAAAATAAATAAAGAAAAACATTAAAAAAAATTCTTCTCAAAGCAAACTACTTACTTGTAAGTCATCTTCTACTCCTTCAGCTTCATTTTTAAATGTTGGGCATCCTAAGAAAACAGGGAGAAGTTAATTAAGCAAAGAGTTTTTGTCTTAGGATTTAGTATTATTGACTAATTAATTAAATCATTATAATAGTGTAGAACTGATCAGAGATCACTCTGGGCTGCCTGGCAACGAGTCAGATGTTGGCCACTGATACCAGCCCCTTTGTTAGGAGAACAGAGAATGAGGGATTGTTTACCTCTTCTACAGGTATTATTTCCAGTTATTTACTCAAGTGCTACTTTCTGTGAAAGCGTACTATCTGTAGCAAGTCCTACACCTGATTTTTCTTAAGTGCTCAAAATGATAGGCAGTATATATGGAATACACTCCTCTAGAGTTTAGATGATACCCACATATGTTTGATTCAATTTTCTAAATACTCTTAACCAGAAAACAGTAATTAATATCCAAAATGAGGATTTTAGTTGCTTTCATTAAGAAAGAAAACAAATAAGCCATAAACCACTATAGACAGCCAATGGCCAATTGTTGCTATTGATCTTTGTAAACCAGTGTCTCTGTGTAAATTTTCACGGTGTTCAAAGAGTGCCTTTAGTTTTAATAAATTCATAAAGAATGAGATCTTAACAAAGTATTCCGAGTTTATGCTACCTTGTGAGACACAGCTAGCATGGAGATGAGGAGAAATCTGTCCTTTGGAAAGGATTGCATAGTTTATTCTTATTGTCATGGAAGGCTAAGTAAGAAAAATTTAATGAGATTGCTGAAAGTCTACACAGTGGCTGGCAATAATGCTAACCCTCAGTATACCTTTAAATATGTTCAAAAATAATGAGACAGACTGAGTACTGTAGTCTATTCCACTTGGCTAGAAGTTTGTAAGCTCCTCCACATTTTTAAACTGTCTTTTAAAACATGAAACCCAATTTATTTGATCCTAGGAAAAGAAATATGCTTTTATGGAGACATGAGTACAGGCTCAAAAGTAACAATAATTTAGGGAATGCAAACTGGTACAGTCACTGTGGAAAACAGTATGGAAGTTCTCAAAAAAATTAAAAACAGAACTACTTTATGATCTAATAACCACACTACGAGGTATTTATACAAAATGTACAAAAACAGTAATTCGAAGGGACACATGCAGCCCTGTGTTTACTGCAGCATTATTTACAATGGCCAAATTATGTAAGCATCCCACATGCCTGTCCGCCAATAGATGAATGGATAAAGAAGAGGTGGTACATATACACAACGGAATATTACTCAGCCACAAAGAACGAAATCTTGCCATTTGCAACAACATGGATGGAGCTAGAGAGTATATAATGCTAAGCAAAATCAGTCAGTCAGAGAATGACAAATACCGTATGATTTCACTCATATGTCAAATTTAAGAAACAAAACAAATGAGCAAAGGAAAGAAAACAGAGAGACAGGAGCGCTTGGGTGGCTTAGTCTGTTAAGCATCCGACTCCTGCTCAGGTCATGATCTCACGGTTCATGGGGTTGAGCCCTGCATCAGATTCTATGCTGATGCTTGGAGCCTGGAGCCTGCTTCAGATTCTGTGTCTCCCTCTCTCTCTCTCTGCCCCTCCCCGACTCACGCTCTGTCTCTCTCTCTCTCTCGAAAATAAACATTAAAAAAAATTAAAAGAAAAAGAGGGAGAGAAACCAAGAATCAGACCCTTAACTATAAAGAACAAACTGATGGCTAACACAGGGGAGTTGGATGGGGGAATGAGCCAAATAGGTGATGGGGATTAAAGAGTACACTTATGATGAGCACTGAGTAATGTACAGAATTGCTGAGTCACTATATTGTACACCTGAAAATAATATAACGTTGTATGTTAACTATACTGGAATTAAAACAAAAAGCTTAGTTAAAAAAAAGTAAATCATAAATTCCAGCAGCCATGGATAATCGGTTATCTTTTTAAAGTACTGGTTCTTGAACACTAAATATCAGAATCAATTGGAAAAAATTTACAAAATATACTGGTGGTACAATATATTTCCAAACCAATAATGTCAGAATCTGGGGGATGAGGCATAGGGTATCAAGTATTTTTATTTCAAAGTTTCTTGCAGTGGTTTCAGAACCACAACCACTGCTAGAGAATCTTGGAATCTTCCCCCCCCCCCCTCAATTCATAATATAATAATTTCACAATTCCTCATCACATTTGAAATGGATAGGAACTTTAAAAAAATGCCTCACCTCCCCTCTCTAGACAGAATGATTCAAGTGGTCTCGAGTGGGGACCAGTTATTGTATTTTTCAAAGGGTCCCAGATGATTCAAATGTGCAGCCAATACTGAGAATACTGATCTAATTTTTTTAATGTTTTAATTATTTGAGAGAGAGAGAGAGAGAGAGAGAGAGAGAGAGAGAGAGAACCAGTGGGAGATGGGCAGAGAGAGAAGGAAGACACAGAATCCGCGAAGCAGACTCCAGGTTCTGAGCTGTCAGCACAAAACCCGACGTGGGGCTTGAACTTGTGAACCACGATATCATGACCTGAGCCAGAGTCAGACGCTTAACTGACTGAGCCATCCAAGGACCCCAAAATACTGATCTAGAATGAATTTTAGATTCTTGTAATAAAGATAAAATGACTGCTACTATTCTGTGGATGTTTTTCTGAACTGGAAATCACTGACTGTACCAATCTCTAATCTTTTAAAATAGCTGAATGAATGATTTATTTACAACTTCATACGTTATCAGTACAAACTTGTACTAAGCATTTCCATGCTCTTGCCTATGGTCAGTCTCATAATTCATTCATTTCTTCTGAATTTTTCTACCAAAATGCCATCTTCAAAATATACAAATCACAATGCTAATATATTTTGATTCAGTTATGTTATATAGAAAGTAATTTCTATTTGTAGAGACAATTTTCCTTCTTAATTAGAAAAACAAATCAAGTCTTAATTATAATTTCGTTATAGGGAAGAAATGGGCTTTAAAGTGATTTATTTTTGCTTAATTAAGCAGAGGCCAGTCTTACATGTAAATACATTCTTCTTCCCTTTAAAACCTGCAAGCTTGGGGCGCCTGGGTGGCGCAGTCGGTTAAGCGTCCGACTTCAGCCAGGTCACGATCTCGCGGTCCGTGAATTCGAGCCCCGCGTCGGGCTCTGGGCTGATGGCTCAGAGCCTGGAGCCTGTTTCCGATTCTGTGTCTCCCTCTCTCTCTGCCCCTCACCCGTTCATGCTCTGTCTCTCTCTGTCCCAAAAAATAAATAAATGTTGAAAAAAAAAAAATTAAAAAAACAAAACAAAACAAAACCTGCAAGCTTTAGGGGTGTCTGGATGGCTCAGGTGGTCAAGCAACCAACTCTTTGATTTCGGCTCAGGTCACGATCTCATGGTTTATGAGGTCAAGCCACATGCTGGGCTCTGCACTGACAGTGTGGAGCCTGCCTGGGATTTTCTCTCTCTTCCCCTCTCCCACTCATGCTGGCTCTCTCTCTCTCTCTCTCTCTCTCTCTCTGTCTGCCTCTCAAAAGAAATAAGTAAACTTAAAAAAAAATAATAAAATAAAACCTGCAAGCCTTAGAGTTAATAATCTTAACAAACTGGCAAAACATGCAAAGGGATAGATGGAGCTGTGGTCTCTACCAATTCTCAATTATGAAACCAGATAAAGAGTTAAGAACAGTTTTAAGAAGGGGTTTTTGCCACAGAAAAAAATAGAGTCTACATATAAAAAAGAGAAAATTTCTAATAACCAAATACAATCGAACACTGTCCTTGAACATTGCAGGGGTGAGGGACACCAACCCCAGTTCACCCCCCACAATGTAGTTGAAAATCTACATGTAACTTTTGACTCCCCCCAACATTTAACTACTAATAGTCTATTGTTGACCGGAGGCATTACCAATAACATAAATAGTTGATCAACACATAATCTGTATGTTATATGTATTATACACTATATTCTTAGAATAAAATAAAACAAAGGACAGAAAATGTTACCAAGCAAATCATAAGGAAGAGGAAATACATTTATGGTACTGTATTGTAAAAAAATCCACATATAGTGGTCCACCATTGAAACCATGTTGTTCAAAGGTTAACCATAATTGATTATTAGAAATTTTTGCTTTTTTATAACCCAAACAAGGATATGACTGATGTAACAACACACAAGAATTCTAAAAGTTCTAACTGTTCTCCTCTTCTTTATGCTCTTACTTAAAAACATCTGAATTATCTGATGGCTGCTACTGATGGCTTCAAGACAATGCACGTAATTGGTATATATATTACGATGTGACAAATATAAAACGTTTAAAAACCCATTATTTTATCTTTGCCTACAGTGAGCTTTCAAAGTTAATCAATCACCTATCACAAAAGCGGACTTGCTTCAAGTCACTCTATTATATGTGATAAACAAAATAAGGAAATAGTCGAGAAAACCTACCTTGAGAAATATCCTCTATAGCTCTTCGAATGCCTCTATCAAAAGCCCTAGCATCAGCAGGACTTTGAAAGGTAAGGCCAAATTTCTTATCATCAATCTTCCAGTGGTGAAATGTTGGGGTGACCTTATTGTAAATGAGGTCTTTTTTAAGCATACATTCCAAAACCACCTGCCAAAAGGTAAATGCCAAAGATTACTATACATTTATCAAATCCTCTAATGTAGCTCTTAATTACAAAACGAGGTAAGAATAAGAAATAAAAAAAGTAAATAAAATGAAACCTGCAAGCCTTTGCTGTATTTTAGTAAATTCATTTCTCCCCTTTATTAAAATAGAGGTCTTGCTACTTAATCTACTTCATAAAATCACTCGGTACAGAAAAAAAATGGGATTAAAGGGGATTCTGGGAAGACGGCAAAGTAAGAAGGAATCTTTCTTCCTACCTAGACAATAATTACACTGGCAGAAATCTGTCTGATATAACTATGTTGGAACTCTGAAGTCTGTTGAAGGTGAAGGCTTGTAACTCCCAAGGGAAGCCATGGCCAGTAAACTGTGCTGAATTCTGGTCAATCTCTGCTATGAGTACAGTAGCCGCTACCCATACCCCGTGGCAGGAATTGTGCACATGTTCCTGGAGGAGGCTTGCATACAAATTTCAGGAGCCAGGTTGCATAAAAAGAATCCTGTCCCCCAAATACCAGAAATCCATGCTCTGATTACTGATGGCTGCTGATTAGACAGGTGTAGACAAAGAGGAAAACACCCATAGTTGTTATACCTTCTCTTACTGTTCTAAGTTCTTCCTCAACAGAATAAAGTCATGTCCAGGTTATTTAAAGGATCAGCATCCTTTTTTATTCATCATTTTTTACTTTTTCCCATTTGGGGTACCAGATACTAAAGACTAGGACATTCAAGAACAATTGTATTCATGGGGAAATTTAGAAAGTGACTATGCATACCCAGAGAAATACTCAGAAAAGATACACAAAGACCTAAGTTTACACTTTAGGCAGATTCCCAGCATAGAGACAACCCACAACAATACAACAACAACAGCGGCAGCAGCAGTGGCAGGAGCAGCAATTCTTGGGGAATGGGGACAATCTAATTTCCAGAGTTACCACATTAATAGATTCAAATACTCAGTGTTTAACAAAAAAACTTAAGGCACACAAGAAAATAGTAAATTAATTTTTTTTTCCTTTTCCCAATGAAAGGAAAAAAGAAAATCAACAGACACTGTCCCTAAAAAAGGCCTGATGGGGGCGCCTGGGTGGCTCTCAGTCGGTTAAGCGTCCGACTTTGGCTCCGGTCATGATCTCAGTCCGTGAGTTTGAGCCCCGCGTCAGGCTCTGTGCTGACAGCTCGGAGCCTGGAGCCTGCTTCACATTCTGTGTCTCCCTCTCTCTCTCTGCCCCTTCCCTGCTCATGCTGTGTCTCTCTCTATCTCAAAAATAAATAAACATTGAGGGGAAAAAAAAAAAAAAAAAAAAAAAAAAAAAAAAAAAAAAAGGCCTGATGGCAGATCTATTAGACAAAAACTTAAAAAAAAAAAAACAAAACAACCCTCTCTTAAGGATGATTGAAGACCTAAATGAAGATATGGAGAAAGTTAAGAAAACAGTGTACAAACAAAAATGAAAGTATCAATAAAGAGAGAGAAACCTAAAAAGAAACTAAGAAGAAATTCTGGGGCTGAAAAGTACAATAACTGAAATAAAAAATTCACTACAGAGATTTAAAGGCAAATTTGAGCAGGCGGAAAAAGTATCTGCAAACTTGAAAACAGGACAATAGAAATTACTGAATCTGAAGAACAGAAAGAAAAACATTAAAGAAATGCAAACAGCTTAAGGGACCCAGAGGACACCATCAAGAGGACCGACCTACACATCATAGGACCTGTAGAAACAAGAAAGGGAAAGGGGCAGAGAGAATATCTGAAGAAACAACAGTTTTAAAACTTCATAGGTTTTAAATGAAAGACATCAATGAAAAGACATCAATGGAAGACAATGAAAGACATCAATATAAGCATCTGACAAGCTCAACAAACTCCAAATAAGATGAATTCAAAACAGAGCCACACAGAGACACAGAGAGAATCTTGAAAGTAGCAAGAGATGCGGATAGTCACTTTCAAATGATCCTAAATAAAAACAGCAGCAGATTTCTCTTCAGAAACTTTGAGGGCCAGAAGATAGTGGGCAGATATGATCAAAGTACTGTAAGAAAAAAGGGTCAAAAAAGAATACTTTATCTGGCAAAACTGTCCTTCAAAAGATAAAAATTAAGACATTCACAAATAAACAAAAGCTGAGAGAATGGGTTACTACTAGATTTGCCCTGCAAAAAAAGTTCAAGGACGTCCTACATAGTGAAATGAAGGAACACTAGACAGTAACTTGAAGCTGTATGGAGAAATAAAGATCTCACTGAGTTAAGTGCAGGAGCATTTATAAAAGCAGTAAAATTGTAACACTGGTTTTTAACTGCAGTTTTTCTTTTCTGTAAGGTTTAAGAGACTAACACATTTAAAGGAAAAAGCAATTAGGAAAAAGCTAGGTATTACTGTAACTTTGGTTTGTAACCCCAAATATTGTTTTCTACAAAATATAAGACACTAATGCATTTAAAAGAGGCATTAGGAACATCTAGGTGGCTCAGTCACAGGTGATCGTCCAACTCTTGATTTTGGCTCAGATCATGATCCCAGGGTCATGGGATTAAGCTCCATGTCGGGCTCCATGCTGGGGTGGAGCCTGCTTAAGATTCTCTCTCTCTCCCTCTCACACTCCCTTGCTCACACTCTATCTCTTAAAAGAAAAAAACCTTTTTATTTTGATGAGGTACTAATAGTTCATTTTTGCTTTTGTTTCCCTTGCCTCCGGAGATGTGTTGAGTAAGAAATTACTGTGGCTGGGATCAAAGAGGTTTTTGCCTGCTTTCTCCTCTAGGATTCTGATGGCTTCCTGTCTTACATTGAGGTCTTTCATCCATTTTGAGTTTATTTTTGTGTATGGGCTAAGAAAGTGGTCAAGGTTCATTCTTCTGCATGTCACTGTCCAGTTCTCCCAGCACCACTTGCTGAAGAGACTGTCTCTATTCCATTGGATATTCTTTCCTGCTTTGTCAAAGATTAGGTGGCCATACATTTGTGGGTCCATTTCTGGGTTCTCTATTCTGTTCTACTGATATGAGTGTCTGTTTGGGTGCCAAAATCTGTAAAGAACTTATCAAACTCAACACCCAAAAAACAAATAATCCAGTGAAGAAATGGGCAAAAGACAGTACTAAACACGTCTCCAAAGAAGACATCCAGATGGCAAACAGACACATGAAAAGATGCTCAACATCATTCATCATCAGGGAAACATAAACCAAAACCACAATGAGATACCACCTCACACCTGTCAGAATTGCTAACGTTAACAGCTCAGGCAACAAAAGATGTTGGCGAGGATGTGGAGAAAGAGGATCTCTTTTGCATTGCTGGTGGGAATGCAAGCTGGTGCAGCCACTCTGGAAAACGGTATGGAGGTTCCTCAAAAAATTAAAAATAGAACTACCCTATGACCCAGCAATTGCACTACTAGGTATTTATCCAAGGGATACAGGTGTGCTGTTTCAAAGGGGCACATGCACCCCAATGTTTATAGCAGCACTATCGACAATAGCCAAAGTATGGAAAGAACCCAAATGTCCACAGATGGAGGAATGGATAAAGAAGACGCGGTATATATATACAACGGAGTATTACTCGGCAATCAGAACAAAATCTTGCCATTTGCAACTACATGGATGGAACTAGAGGGTATTATGCTAAACGAAATTAGTCAGTCAGAGAAAGACAACTATCTTATGACTTCACTCATATGAGAAATTTAAGATACAAAACAGATGAACATAAGGGAAGCAAAAATAATACAAAAACAGGGAGGGGGACAAAACATAAGAGACTCATAAATATAGAGAACAAACAGGGTTCTTGGAGGGGTTGTGGGAGGAGGGATGGGCTAAAGGGGTAAGGGGCATTAAGGAATCTACTCCCAAAACCATTGTTGCACTATATGCTAACTTGAATGTAAATAAAAAAATTAAAAAATAATAATTAAAAGAAACACAGGGATAGTGGAACAATATAAAATGTAATATATTAATGTGGTAGAAAAAAATAAAAGTATTTTATCATGAATAAAAGCATGAGTTTATACTTCTGGGCATTCAATTTATATAGATATAATTCTGTGACATCAACAACCGAAAGGGGTGAGGACAAAGCTGTAAAGGAGCAGAGTATTTTTGTTATGTTATTAAATTTAAGCTGGTATAAATTCAGGTTAGAGTGTTAAAACTTGAAGATACGAAATGTAATCTCCATGGGAACCACAAAGTAATAGCTATAGAATATACATGAAAGTAATTTAAACATTTCTTTTTTTTTTTTTTTTAACGTTTATTTATTTTTGAGACAGAGAGAGACACAGCATGAACGGGGGAGGGTCAGAGAGAGAGGGAGACACAGAATCGGAAGCAGGCTCCAGGCTCTGAGCCATCAGCCCAGAGCCCGACGCGGGGCTCGAACTCGCGGACCGCGAGATCGTGACCTGAGCTGAAGTCGGACGCTCAACTGACTGAGCCACCCAGGCACCCCAAACATTTCACAACAATCAATGCAAACATAAACAAAGACAGAAATGCAAGAAATGAGAGATTATATGCTGTAAGACACATAAAAACAGCACAGTGACAGAAGTCCCTCCTTATGACCATTTTATTATTATTATTATTATTATTATTATTATTTTTGGTTTATTTATTTTTGAGAGAGAAAGAGAGAGAGAGTGAAAGCAGGGGAAGGGCAGAGAGAGAGGGGGACAGAGGATTGGAAGCAGGCTTGTGTGAGCAGCAGCCAATTCCTATGAGGAGCCTGAATTAACAAACTGTGAGATCATGACCTGAGTCAAAGCCTAACTCTCAACCAACTGAGCTGAGCCACTGGGGTTCCCCTAATCAATCATTTTAAATGTAAATATATTTAACTCTCCAATTACAATGACAGAGATTGGCAGAGTAGGAAAAAAAACACATAATCTAACTATGTGCTTTTTTTACTTTTTTAAATAATTTCTAGGCCCAATGTGGGCCTTAAACTCACAATG